ATTCCTGCTTGCCATTTCAATGATGTCCTCTGAGCTTGTCCTCTCAGCTCTGCTTCCTGGAGTAACAGTTCACCGACCCAGCATATTCAGTGTTTAGGAGCAGCCAAAACATCCCCTAAAAGAGGGAGACAAAGAAGAACAAGTTATAATATCAGGGATCAAGGAAGTAGATTGTGTATGCATTTTTTTAAATTAAAAGAAACAAGTTTTTCAGTACAATTAAACTACTTTGAAGTTCAAATGGTCACTTCAAGTCAAACCTGTTTTACAGCTTCTTGAACAAGGGGGTCATGAAAATATACTCCTGCCCAATACAGTGACTCATACCCTCAAAGACAGAAGTGTCATTCAAGTGCAAAAATTTAAAAATAAATAACTGCATTTTAGGTTTTCCTTGAAGTCAGCAGAACAATTTAGAGTCAAAATTTACATCTAGTCAGTCCCAGGCAATGAGATTATCTTCAAAAGTACACAGGAGATCTCTGTGTCTATGGTTATCATACATCAGAGACAAAAGCCAAATATCTCTGAAGTTCACTGTTGCTTGCAAAGATTTTCAGAGTAAAGAGTCAGATAGAGTGAGGCAGCTCAACATGAATCTATTTCCACCTGTGGTGTTCACCTTCTGCCAGTGTAGACTTGGACCACGTTTCTGAACTCTCTTCACAAGGGCCTGAAGTTAGGTTTTGTTTATTTAAACAAAGATTGCCCTCAAAAACACATTTGGGGTAAAAATCATGAGCTTGCCATGGTGGTTTACTTATTATTTGCACATTTCTAGGATGTCATCTTTGAGCAGTCATCAGCTAAACAGAACAAAAGAATCATCCCATGAGTACAAGCCATTGAACTTTTGGACCCAACTTCACTCTTACAAAATTGCATGCCTTGCCCTTCACACCTGTCTTCCCGCTCTCAGTCTTCAAAGGCTCCTTTCCCTTTCCAGATCAGAAAGGCAGCAGTCATCACTAGCCCCGGAGGAAAAATCCTAAGGAAGCTGGCAGAACTCTGCCAAATGCAACATGTTCTGGCAATGAGATGGGAGGAGGCTGGGAACATATTAGACGAATTTACAGGCCCCAATCTAAGACTTAAGGAGTGTGTCCTCAGCGAGTGCAATGCCTCTTTCTGTAAGTCTCTGTCTATTTGTAAAAATAAATATTTATCACTTATAGGAGAAGCTCTTATTCTACTTGAAACTGCAACAGTTTTAAGAGATTATTTTCCTCAGATATTTATTCACAGCATTTTGCCTCTGATAATGTATAATTATGCCATGAATATGATCCCACAGAGGCCCTAAACACTGTCATATGGAACATATGAAGTAAGAGCAAAACAATTTCTATAGGAACATCTTGAGTATGTGGAATAAGAAATCACGCAGTTACATGAAGGCTCACTGCTTTATCCAAATTAACCTGCATCTACAAATAGTAATTTCAAATACTGTTTTGCCTTTGTTTTATAGACCATGGTTCCAGACCTCAAAAAGCCACCATCAACAAAAGACACTTAAAAAAAAAAAAAGAGAGAGACAAGATAATCCCTGACTAACAAAGGTTAACACCTCTTGCCTAAAAAAAACTCAAAGAAACTAAGGCAGGAGGGAAAGTCTTCTGGGTCTAGACTTGAATCTCTGTTAGTGCCTCATTGCAACTGCACCATGGATGTAACAAAGCCCAAGAGGAAAAAAGAAATAGCATGAATTGAATACAGGCCTCAGGAGGATCCCTAGTGTCAAACCTGGTGGGAGACAGAAGAGAAGCAGACTATCTTTTTGGTCATTTCTCTTCATTAGGCAGCTATTACCACAACAAGGTAATACCTTAGGTCTACCTTAGGTAGACCAAGGTAATACCATGTTTACCTTAGGTCCCTGCAGTACAACACTACCATTCGGCAGACAGGCTGCCCCCACAGCAGGGACCTAATGAGCACCATTTGTGCAACTAGTCACTGTGCTTACTTCTCCGGCCACAAAATCCGGAAACAGCTCCACCAGGAGATGAAAACAATATACTGGCACTACCACTACTCAAAGGGAAATTTTCATCTCTAAAGATACCCTCTACATCTCTAAGAAATGCTGTTATCTCTAGTTAGGTTAATCCATATTTCTTAAATAAACTTCTGAATGTGGTTCTGTTCAGCTGTCATATTTATCTTCTCCATGATCTTCAAAGCAATATTGTTCCATGAGGTTTACGTAGCAGCCAATATTTCAAACTACCTATCTGTAACTTTGGCCTTTTAAAACAAATTTAGAAAATGGCAGTTTATCTCACAATTATATAGAAATAAAAAGTGCTTACTACAAAGTCACCAACAAACATTCAAATCCTGAACTTTTTTGAGAATCCAGCACATCACTTCTTCAACTTATAAACAGATAGGGATGTCAGTTTTGACTGTCAAGCACTCTTCCTAACATCTCATACACCAGTCTGCTTTTGCAGTGTTAATTCAAAGCCCTGGATGTTGACTGACTGGCAGGTGCACGTCTGCCAACAGGAACCAAAAATTATGTTGCAACCTCAAAACCTGAACAGCTCTAAACTGGAATTGTCAAGACTTTCATCTTGTCAATTGGGTAAGTTTCTTGCCTCAGGTAAATCAAGTCTGTAAGAAAGCTGTTGAAGGATTGATGTCTTATGATGTCTTTTTCTTTGTTTTTAAAATAATTTCTGAGAGAGGAGTGTTATATTGTCTCACAGTGTAAACTAAAGATCTAAAAGAAATAGCTGGACAGCATTCACAAAACAAGCTGCAGGCTTCGTTCATGTCTCGTAGTATTCAAATTAATAAAAATAATGGAGGAAGAACTTCAGTCCTTCCCAAATGGGCAAGAAGTTGCAAGGACTGAGTATCCACACGGGTCTCTGGAAAGCTAAAGCAACATGCCCTTCTATTAAACTTCCACGATATCGCCATTCAACAGAGCAATTTCTGCAAGTAAATTTAAACTCCCACTTTGTTTTTAGGCAGGTGCAAGATACCACCTGCCTTAACAGGCTCTCAACCAAACTTCTCCTGGCAGATATGATACCATATAGTTCCATGACTAAACATTAGTTTCATAGCTGTTTTTGCTAAGTGTAACGTACTTTGTCTGGCTTAAATGGATCACGTTCTCCTCCCAACACTTCAGAGGAGACTCCTATGTGAATTCTGTTCCATTGATCCACTGGCATTTATCCTTTATTCAGATTTACATCGTATTTTATTAGTTGTTTTTCTCCTACCCTAGTTTATGACAAAAAACCTTCCCAGAATTAAGCAGTGCAGCTGAGACCCTTCTAGGTTCCTTTTTAAAGTGAACAACGTGATGCTTCAGTTAAGGCATGTCCGAGTACTTGAAAAATTGGCCCCTGAGCTCACTGGATAAGAAGTTAAAAGAAACTAGCAATAATCAGATTTTTTCTTCTTTGATTTGTGTCATCTATATAGCGCAAACTCTGTATCACATTTCCCTATGATAACAAATCTTTAGTCATTGGCACCATGCCAGTTACAAACAAACTAGAGTAGTTTTTAGTCTCAGCATAAACAAGAAGAAAACCTTTTCTCTGCGTGGTGTACTTGGCCAGGCTTGTAAGACCTGCCGATACAAGTTAGCGCAAGACTGACTTTCTGCAAAAAGACTGCAAACACTGATTCCAAGCACAGAAGGGGAAAACTGCTAGCTGAGAGGACAGTATTTGTCATAGATCTAAGGCCAAATGTCAAAAATCAAAACCTCCTCTACTCCAAATCCCCCTCAACCCCAATTTGAATTAATTTGCTCTCCTTTTTTGACAAATATTTTCTCTTAAAGTTTGCATACATGCCAAAAATAACTGAGTGGTCTTAATATTTCTTTCGGAACCACTAGAAGCTCAATGGGAAGTTTTCCTTTTCAGAAAAAGTTTTGAGACCTTAAGTGTCAAATAAGACTCAAAGACCCACACTGACTAATCCAGACTGACTAAATCATGGAAACAGACAGAAATACCATACTGACTGGTTCCTGGGAAAAACCTGTCACCTTATGTTGCAGAGCAACATTTGTGAGTCTTGGGATATTTATCATGAATTTTTTCTTAAATCTTAAATTGAAATGAAGCTGCATGAAGAACTTCCCTTTCATTAAAGTTTTCTCATCCTTGTTATAAATAGAAGTCTGAAATTATGTTTTATGTAATTCATGCATCAAAGCTTCTACAGTTTGGCAATAAAAGAAACAAAAATGGAGTTTTTTTCCACTCATAAGGCACTCAACTCCTGAGTGCTTTAGGCCCAGCCACCATCCAAAACATTTTTCTTATAGGATTTCTCAAAAACTACTCAGGCAGTTATGCTTCTTAATTCATTCATTTAAGACTTTAGATTTTTCTAGAGCACAATCAAGTCAAAAAAGATAAGACCTCGTTCACAAACTACGCTGTTTGCTCTACACAGAGCTCTGGTTTTCCCCCTACTGCCTTCTCCTAAATACAAAAAGGGAATTGTAATTCTAATACTGTGTTCCAAACATTAAGAGGTACCATATTATGAGGTATCATAATCACAGCTTAGATTTTTAAGTTTTTACTCAGTGGGCATATTTTACATATGGGATGTAACGAGGGAGAGGCAAGAGGCTAGACTTGTTTGACATGACTGACAGATTAAGTTCATCAACAGGATCAGAGACTGAACAGCAAAACTCCAGCCAGCTGTTTCATCCAAGTCAACTCGACCTCCTTTTGCAATGTATCAGCCTAGTAATGTCTAAATTTACAATATAAGATTATTTTTCAAGTGCTCCTCATACAGCAGAGCTAGGCTTACCAGAGTTTTATTCAGAAGAATCTTTCTCCCAGCCAACACCTTCTAATAAGAGGAAGAAGGTCACAGCCAATGCTACACTTCTGACTAGTTTTGCATCCATATTTGTGCCAACTCCTTCCAACTGAATGAACAATTACCCTGTGGGCCTGG